GTGTGCAAAAATTTTCTCCCAATCAGTGAGGTATATCTCTTTGTTTTGGTTAATGTTTCTTTTGCTGTACAGAAGCTCTTTAATTTGATGTAGTTCCAGCCATTCACAGCAACATGGATGGAGCTCCATGGATTATGTCCAGTGAAATAAGCCAGAAAGAAAAGGGAAAAATATTGACGGTTTTCACTTATTGGAGGAATATAGGGGAACCAAATAGGGGATCAGGGGAAAAAAATAATTATAATAAATTAAAAATCAAAATCAACAGGTAACTATAAATCAGAGACATTTTGCAGGGGAGAAGATCAAAACAGGGGAGGGGATGTTATAGGACAGGGAGAGGGATAGCCCAAGCCCCGCAAACCTGCCTATTCTAAACGGGTTCTGCCATCCGCCGCATCAACACAAAACATATGAGACTTTAATGGGAAGGAACTTTAATAAAACTAGGAAACAATACAGGAAAGGCAAAGAGTCTAGTTTCTAAATGAAGCACCCAAAGTTACCCGTCCCCTCGTGGGTAAAAGTCCATCCATATGGAATTGGCCCAGAACAAGGCCCCAAAGCCTGCCACAAGTCTAAAGCATCTTCCTGTGGGGACCCACAGAAAAGGGTCAGAAACAACCAGACAAGCCCGGAAGGAAAAAAGCAAAATCAACATCAAGATAAAAGCTGCCATTGTCACCTCCCCATGGGTCTCACCCACGTCTGTGTCACCCAGTCCACAACCCAAAGACAAGCGCAGTTTCTTCACGTGTCTCTAGGCTCCATGGGCCTCCTCCAGGTCTCCTGGCTCCATCCTGCTTCCTTCCTTCCTCAGTCTCTTCCTGCAGCTTCTTCTCTTCCTGCTCAGCTCCACCCTCCCTTGGGTGGGGCAGGGAACCTGGAACTTCCCCCTTTCCTGGGGACCACCCTGTTACAGGGAGAGCACAAGAGACTATGATGATGGTGCACGGGTGAGTTGGTGGGGGGAATTTCACGGGGACTACACTTGAGAAAGCGAACATTGTACAAAAATGAAGAATGATGTAAAATATATATAAAATAATAATAAAAAAGACTACAAGGGCCTCCCCGGTGGCGCAGCAGTTGAGCGCTGGGTTGCGAAGCTGCCCGCAGCCTCTGCAGCGCAGGTTCGATCCCTGGCTGCTCCCCGGCCACAGGAGGAGGGTCCCACATGGCGCAGACCTCTCCTGCCGCCCGCTGCTCCCCTCAGCAGTGTACTTCAGCCCTTCTGCCTGCTCTGCTCCCTGCTCTGGCTCTGGTGAATTCTCTCACCCTCCCGTGCTTCTGACTGTACCCAGTGCTTGTATAAATAAATAAATCAATCTTTAAAAAAAAAAAACAAACTACAAAATAAAAAAAAAAAGATCACTCTCATTGAAATGTGGCTAATGGGATGGAGATAAGCATGACACAATACGTAGAGTCCATCAGGGCCATTGCAGTGGCCCCGCAAGACAGACTAGTGCCTGGACTAGGTGAGGACAGCAGAGGTGGAGAACTGGGAGACATGGGAGACAGATAGGAGAGAGAATAGTAGACTCGGGTGCAGCATGGGACAAGAGAGAAGGGCTACCTAGATAGCACTTAGAGTCTTCTGTCCCTCTGAGGTTATAGCATTTGTGAGCCTTAGTCAAACTTAGGGTCACACAAATTTGAAAATTTTTGCTTAAGAAATGCATTTGACTTGAGGGAGAAAGTAATAATCCTCAAACCCACAGGAATCCACAAAATTAGGATGAAAATAGGCATAGCATATGATAATAAAAATGTGTGTTAAATTTTTAGATATTTGAAGCTGATTCCCGCTCTGTCTCTGGTGAATTCTCTCACCCTCCTGCACCTCTGACTATACCCCAGTTCTTGTATAAATAAATAAATCTTAAAAAAATATATCAGTGATATTCAGTAAACTGCACATAATTTAAAACTGCACAGTTGGATAGGTTTTGACATAATTATAACCATCATGACATCATCACCATAATCAAATCAGTGAAATATTTCCATCACCCCTAAATGTCTCCATATGCCTCTTGGTTGTCCTGCACTGCCACCCTGTCCCCAGGCAGCCATTGTTCTTATTTTCATTACTGCTGATTAATTTGCATTTTTAAAAGTTTAAAATACTGTATGGATTCATACAATATTGTACTTTTGGGGGGATGGCAAGACTGGATTCTTTCATTTCATTCTTTTATATGCATTATCTTATCTAATTACAATAGTAACTACTATCAAGAAATTGATATTCAGAGAGGCTGAGTCCTAAGTCTCCCAGTTAAACATGGTAATGTTGACTTGGGAGCCATGCTTTCCCCTCAATGCACGTTATCCTCACTGGGCACGCATGCCCCTGAGTGTACCAGTCTCTCTAAGGCATGAGTGTAAGAAGAGGTGCCTAGCCCATGTCTCATGGCTTTGGAGGATGGAATCAGGACCTGGGGTCACTGAAGATGAATCCTTTAGCTGCCACCACACTGGACACATGAAGAATTCTAAAGCAGAGCAAACAAACACAAGCAGCCTGAAGTTTTGTGACCTTCATTTCTGAAGGTCACTGGGAGCCTGGGCTGCTGGAGACAGATGGGCTCAGAAGAAAGGACAGGTTGTCCACCCCCTTGGTTTCAAGCAAACCCAGTGCAGATCTGGATTCAAGGGAAGGTGGGAGGCAGGCTTGGGCTGCTCCTCACTGCCTCAACTGGGGCAGCTCTATTCTTTCCTATTCATCTATTGTAAATTTTCTTCTAAAGGAGACATGTGTCTTTAACAGGGAGGGGAAGGGTAGGGACAAAGTGAGGAGGGACCACAGTGGACCATGTGGATGGACTCTGGGTGCTTTGGTGGTAGGCATGGTGTAGTAAAAACGTGTGAATGGGGAGATCCTATACCTCTAAAATACAAACAATGATGTAAACCAATGTTATCTCAATAAGAAAAAGCTTGAAAATCACTAATCTAGTTTAATATTTCATTTATTAGAGATGAAGAGGCCAAGGCCTTGATAGGGTCAAATGCCAGATGCCTAGTGAAATTTGAATCTCAAATCAACAAAGAATAATTTTTGAGTTATAGCCATCTTAACTATTGCACAGGACATACTTATATCAATAGTTACTTGTTTTTGCTGAATCTGACAACACCCTAGGGCTCGTGGCTGACTTGCCCCAGAGAAGGTCAGGGCTGAGCAGGCATAGGCAGTGGGTCTGTGGCTGATACAAATGCACAGCCTCCTGTCTGCTAGACCTTAACTGGACACTATCTTGTGTAAAAGTACAGGTCTTGGGCCTCCCCTGGTGGCACAGGTGGTTGAGCGCCGCGCTGTGAAGCTGTCCACAGCCTCTGCAGCGCCGGTTTGATCCCGGCAGGCTGGCGAGGGTCCCACATGGTGTGGCAGACCTCTCCTGTCTCGCCCGCTGCTCCCCTCAGCAGTGTGTTTCGTCAGTCTGCCTGTTCTGTTCCCTGCTCTGTCTCTGGTGAATCCTCTCACCCTCCCATGCATCTGGCCTGTACCCCGGTTCTTGTATAAATAAATGAATAAACCTTAAAAAAAAAAATAAAAGTACAGGTCTAAAAATTGTTTTCAGTGGGGCCAAACTTGTTTAGGGGCTGGAGTGAGAGCAACTGTTGGAAGTGGGCTTGGATGAGGCTGGTGGTCCTGCTACTACTGACCATACCTGCTTCCCTGCTCTTTATCTCCCTGTCCCCCCAACCCCCTTCTCCTCTGTGCCCTGGGGTCTGGGGCTGAGCAGCACATGACACTCGGGATGATGTCATGACCACAGTACTGGTTCTGATGAGGGGTCACTGAATCCTTGTCCTGAGAGGTCCCAGCTATCTCTCCAGAGCCCAGGAGAGGGGAGGGGGGGAAAGAGAAGGCCTGAAAGTTACAAGCAAAATCACTCAAATGATCTCCATCTTATTCTTCCCTAACTTGGCCTCATTAACAAGGAGGCTAATATTTGGCTCTGGAGTGAAGGCAGGACTGAAGTTCTCTCCAGGGGCTCTGTTAAATGTCATAAATTGCAAGGGCTCAGCTTGAGGAATTTGTGAATGGCATCTGAGCCTGAGGCCATGTAGTAATATTTATACTGTGGAAGTTCAGCCTTTTTCCCCTTTAAAAAAAGTTTGTGATTTGTTTCAGAAGATGTCCATATTAATCACTGTTTTTGGTGCCCTAATGGGCAAGATTCTCAGTTCCAGGATGCCAGGGGATGGCCGTGGGAGAAACAGGACCTTGGGCTTGGGGAGGGGCTCACATGAGCTCAGGTGCTGGATCTTTTATGCCAATGCCTTTTTTCTGTTTGGGGGAGTTATGAAACAGACCTCTCACCATCATGCACAGAGAATCAGTCTTATTTTTAGGCTATAAAATCCAGAGAATGCATTAAATATGCCTGTTTAGCCATGTCCAAAGTGAGTGTATGAAACTCCTCAGGAGTGGTGATGGAATGTTACCAAAAATGAGAATATTGTAATTAACACATATCTAGAAATTATTATTTGTCAGACCTCCTGTTCTAAGCCATATATTTATGTATATATGTATTTCTAGATCTATATCTCTTATATATTTATTTTATTCTCAGATTAAATAGGCTAAGGAAGTAGGTACTGTTATTTTCCCTTCTTAAAAGGCTGGGATAGTGACTGGTCTTTGTTACACAATCAAGTAGAGGCTCATGCTAGCTGCACATACCAAGGCTGGATTCTGATGCCCATAGTCTGGCATCCTATGTCCCTCACCATTTGTGTCAACCTGCCTTTTCTATCTTATCTTGCACGATTCAGCTTTGGGCATTGCTTACATGTAGGAGGTCTTGCTGTCCTGAGCTAATCAGGTAACTTCCTCTGCTGAGAATCTGGACATACTGGTATGTTGGGAATGTTGTCTGCTTATCTCTTCATAAAGATGAACATTCCACCCACTCTTGGGTCAGACCATGTCCTTTATTCACACACCCAAAGCCATTCTAGATCCTGAGTGCCCTCTCACACTGTGTTACTGAGGAATTACTGCTCAGTATGCAGGACTTGTATAGCTTTGGTTCCAACACTCAAGTCCAGAGCTGTTTCTTCATGATTCCTCTCTGTCTTGTTCCTTAATGGATTAAAAGTTTCAGCACGGAAGAGGTTGGGTATGAACATAATAGTCCCTCAGTCTGAGGTGCTGAAGGAGAAGGGGCTGAGAGCTGTCTTTTACCCTCACTGGCTTTTTTTTTTTTAAAGATTTATTTATTTATGCATACAAGAGCTGGGGTACAGTACAGAGGTGTGGGGGGGGGGTGAGAGGACTCACCAGAGACAGAGCTGGGAACAGAACAGGCCGACTGACTGAAATGCACTGCTGAGGGAGCAGTGGGCGAGACAGGAAAGGTCTGCTGTGCCGTGTGGGTAGCTCCCTGGCTGGGGATCAAACTCATGCTGCAGTGGCTGCGGATAGCTTCATAGGTTGCATCTTAACACCTGCATTACCAGGGAGGCCATACCCTTAATGGTTCTTAAAAAAAAAAAAATCACAAAAGACGCATGTGGTGCTCTTCATGGAGAACCATTGGGTGCTCCTGGTGTCACTTGACATAGGCAAGGTCTGTGATTAAATATTGCCTTATAAGTAGGCTGTCTCTCACTTATGTAATACTGGTTTTACAAAAATTCTATTTTTCTCAATTCCATAAAAAACATAATAAAATTTGATTAATTTGTGTTCTGATAGGACCACAAAGTCAACTGTTGTGAGCACCAGCTGCTCTGAGCAGGCCTTTCTTCTGCAGGTGTTATTTTGGGAACCAAAGGATTCATGATATTATTGTGTCACTTTTCCACTATTTCCATGAGTTCCCATAATTACAGATCAAAGATTCAGGAGACTAGGAATCTGACAAAAGCTGTAAGGGAGAGTCTAGAGATGCTGGCACCAACTGTGTGTTGAGACACGCAAGTTCCTATAGAATTAAGCCAATCTTATTCTTATAATGTAAGAGCGAGCTCTGACATGGGACTGAAGGGACAGAAGATTATGCTGAAGTGCTTTTGACTTTCACAAAACTTGAGTTTTGCAAGACATTTCCTAGCTGAGCAGTTGGATGTCTCAGTGAGCATTTGTCATTTGTGCATCTGGGCAAGATAAACCAAAGGTGAAATATTTCTGGAGCCAGGTAAGCATTTCATCCCTCTGCCCCAGTGTGTCCAGGCTCACACTGATGGTCCTGTGGCCTCCTGGCCTGTCCTCGACTTTTTTCTCTGTCCAGAGAGAGCTCTTTGTCCTCATGGCAAAAAGGAGGAGTACCTTCTGGGGACAGAGAGTAATGACTGCTTTTCTTTTATATTCACCATAAAGATCGATAATCCACATATAGTTTCCACACTGGGCCATAAGTATGAGTAATTATGGAATAATTAAATGTGCTAAGGGTGGCCAGGACTGCTAAAAGAGCAATTATGTAGCTAAGTCTGCACTCTGAATTGAACTGAAATAATTTGAAATAGAACATCAGATTTCAGAACAAACATTTCTGAGTCTTCTTCATTATATACTGTTTACCTATAATAACACTTCTCTTTTCCTTCTAAAATTTAATGAACGGACAGTAGTCTTAAGCTGTCCAACAAAAGGCAATGGGAATTCAACACTGTGCAAAGACAAGGCTGCCCCTCCTGCTGTGTGCAGGTGTGTGCTGGAATCTAGAATCTTTCAGTCTCTAGTTCAAATGCCAATTTCTGTTGAAGACTTCTGAGACATGATCCAAGTTACCTTGAGTCCCTCCTGACCCTAGCACTTTCCACTTCTGTAGTAGAACTGCAAAATCTGTCTTATTTCATGACTTTTTGATGAGAAAAACTCTTTTATCATACTTTATAATTTATAAAGAATTGTTCCCATATTTTTTAATTCTTGAAACAGCCTGTGTGTACACATGGTACTGAAAACTTACAGAAGAAGAAATGAAATCTCAAATGCCCTAAAACCAGACAATTAAACTCAATTGCCTATAGGAGACAGGCAGATAGAAAGACAAATACAAATGTAAGATAATCTGTCTAGGCATGTACCAGTCAGCATACTGTGCATAAAGTATGCACAGTAACAAAATGATCCCCACATCTTGGTAGCTTGTATCAAAAAAGGATTATTTTTCCATCAAGTTTCATGTTCATTGTAGGTTGATGGTGGCCCTGCTCTAGGATCCAGGTTGAGCAGTGGGGATGTTGGCAGGAGTGAGGTAAAGGATAACATGGTACACCCATGTACAGCTTGTAAGATCCAACTTGGAAATGGTCACATCCCTTCTGTTTATAAATTGAAACCTGTTATTTTCTCAGGCTTCTCTGCAGGATCTGCATGAACCAAAATTCATCCTGAGTAGGAGTTGGCATACTAATGCTCATACTAATATCTGGCCCACTGCCTGTTTTTGTATGGCCCGTGAGCTGAGAATGGTGTTTAACATTAAACATTAAACATAACAGATTAAAAATACTCAAAAAAGATAATATTTTGTGACAGGTGAAAATTATATGAACTTCGGATTGCAATGATTTTGTAAACAACACTTTGCTTGGACAAATCGCTCTGTGTAATGGCTGTAGCTGTTCTTATGCTACAATGACAGGATGAATAGCAGAGACAGAGACCCTACGGTAGGCAAAGCTGAAATTACTTACTGTCTGGCCCATTACAGAAAAAGTTTGCTGCACCCTGTTCTGTGTCATTGGTCAGAAATCATCCCAGTAAGGCAGGAGCTCAGTCTAAGTCTCAGCTACTTTCTTTTTCTCTCAATGACTGTAGCAATGTGTTTGGGATCCAGGACTATATCTACTGCTGTGCCTACCAGGGGGTGTTCAAATAATGTGCAAAGTGACTGGAGCCCTGAAATTGTGGATGTTACAGCAAGCTGGTAGGGTCTACGTGCAGAAAGTTTTGTAACTCTTACTTAGAGCACTTTCAAAATGGCATAGGAATAGTAACTAATGCAAAAAATACCCTAAATGATATTAAAAAGCAAGTGAGAGCCTGTAGGAAATATGGCAACAAAAAAGATAGATCAAAGATGGATTTTTTTTTTCATGGTAGATCTATTTTTAATTTTTTTAAACATTTATTTATTTATTTATTTATTTATTTATTTATTTATTTATTTATTTATTTATTTATACAAGCACTGGGCACAGTCAGAAGTGCAGGAGGGTGAGAGGATTCACTAGAGCCAGAGCGGGGAACAAAACAGGCAGAGTGACGAAATACACTGCTGAGGGGAGCAGCGGGCTGCAGGAGAGGTCTGCGTGCCATGTGGGACCCTCGCCTGTGGCCAGGGATCGAACTGGTGCTACAGAGGCTGCGGGCAGCTTCGCAACCCAGTGCTCAACTGCTGCGCCACCAGGGGAGGCCCCAAAGATGGATATTTTTAACGTATAAAGAGCTGTTGCAAATAGGGAAAAGATAAAAACCACAATATAAAAAATGGATAACTTATAAATAATTAAGCAAATGTCCAAAAATTATATAACATGTTCAATCTTACTAGTAAACAAAGAAATATTAAACCAGTGTGATCTCAACTTTAGCAATTAAACTGGCAAAAAAGGGGAAGTACCTGCCATTGGCAGGTGCCAGGTATAGGACATATTCTACAAATGTGTACAATTTTTGATGGGCAAGTTAATATAAATCCAAACTTTAATAACATTCATACTCTGCTTTGTTCACCTCAAAGGATTTATCTTAAGGAAATAATAAGTAGAGAGGCACAAAGAGACTTATGTATTTCCTACAAGAACTTTTACTACTAGTGTTATATCTAATAGAGAAAATTGGAAACTACTTAAATGCCCAGTGGTAAATACTAGACAGTCATTAAAATTATGTCATAGGAGAACTAATGTCATGGGAAATTAAGATACAGTATTAGGTGAAAGAAACAGAATACAGAAAGTATATATGATACGCTTCCATGTTTGTAAAAAACAAAAACAGGAGAGGCAAACTGTACTCAGTAAATGTTAATAGTAGTGGTTCTCTCTGAATTATTGGATAATTGAATTTCCATTGTGCTTTTCTATACTTACCTAACTTTCTATCATAAACATATTACATTGGTAACCAGAGGAAGAAAATGTATTTGGACTGAGGAAACCTCGCTTAGAGCATGCTCATGAGTATCTTGGGTACCATAAAATCCTCGTTATTTCTTTCAACTTTAAGAAAATCATTTTTGATCACTTTGTGAGTGAATCATGGTCTTTGTTTTTCTTGAGGAACTAGAAAATGGGTGATTCTTGATTGTGTTGGAAAAGGAACATTCTGCTTTGCGGTTTCTTATCTGGGTATTAAAGAGAATGTATTTTGCTGGGATGTTCTCAAGTATTTAGAGAATTGCTTCACTTCAACAGACCACTTTATTGCTGTAGCTGTGGCTCAAGACAATTGGATGCCAGAGTGATTTTTGAGATGGAACGATCCAGTTTGAACAGAGACAGTCTTCTAAATTGGGGTAAGACCCTGCAGCATGTGGTTCTCATTGAGAGTCAGCACGCCTCCCACCTCCTGAGATGAGTGGGCGCCTGATCACCCCAGCCCCAGCATGCCTGAACATCAGTGGGGAGCAGCCCGGTGAGGGGCCTCACTTTAGAGAGGCTGCTGACTGCTACTCAAGAAAATTGCTTTTGTTCTCCAGTTGTTGTTACTGCTCGCCTGGGCCTGGTTGTCTGTGGTAAATGAAATTTTGAACAAAGTCTGGAGAAAGTTGAGTACTTGGGTTTGATGCTAGAAATCTACAAAGTTCTGGGCAAAAGTCTGTTTCTTTCAGAAGTCAGCGTTTGCTTGACCTCTTGGACACGTTGCATCTGGGTCCATCATCTGACATTTCTGGTGTCACGATGCCTCCTGTGCTGTTGGGGTTCACACGGCTCAGGATTGGGTGCTCATAGGCACATAAGGCAGATTGAGGACAACTGGTAAGAGAGCCAGAATGGCTCCTGGTCAGCAACCAGGGCCCCAGGGAGGACTGGTCTGGACAGTACAGCAGAGATGCCAAGGAATAGGGAAATAGCTGGCCCAGCCCAGCCATGTGAAGGGGATCCAAGACACAGTAGCTGGGGGTCCCAGTGGAGAGGCAAATTCCTGTTGGGGAAAAGTGGGGTGACAGTGTTCTGAGTTCCGACTGAGCAACCCTTTAGTGGATAACGGGGCCAGGCACCAGGGGAGAGGAAAGAGTGCCTGGCACTTAGCACAATGTAGGAAGGATGTATGGCCACCTGGTATATCAGCTGGGCTCTGACCTTTGGGGCTAGGCAGGCCTGTGTTTGATTCTGGCCTCACCGCTGCCTCTGCGTGCCCTTGGTGAAAGCCTTGAGCTCTTTACCGCTGACTTGTCTCCCACTACTGAGCTATGGGAGGTGTGGGAAAATGAAATCTGTGAGTTACATAATGTGCTTAGGACAGAGCAGACACACAAACGACTTCCTTAAATCTCCTTGGCCCCAGCATAGGATTACAGCTGGGACTGGGGCTGGGTTTGCAGGTAGAAAACAAGTGGTCCCAACGAGGACCCTGCTGAACTGGGGTGACAGCTCAGGCTGACTCCTGTGAAAATAGCTCCACTGGGTTTTCCTACTTTTTTTTCTAATGACCTGGCCAATCAAAGACTTTGATTTCATTTGATAAAAAAAATCTGAGATGATTAAAAAAGAATTAGGGGTGGCCAGAAGAACAACTGAAGTTGGACTTCTGGAAAGAATTCTAAAATGCTGCAGAAATTTTTGTAAAAAATAAAATTATGAACATTCGATGAGAGAGACAACAAACATGTGAAGATTACTGTCCATCTGACTCATTGCTTTTCCAATTTCAATTAAGGAAAATAAGTATGGGCCTATTATGTTTTAGACCCTTTGCAAATAACCTAAAAAAGATTCATTGAGGTCAATATTTTGTTCTTCATTCATAGAATTACTAAATCCTTTCAGCACTGCATTAAAAAAATCTCAGTTTTCAATAGTCACAACATATTGCCCACTGAGATAGTCACTGAATATAAAATAATGGTGCTGACCGGTGAGGCCACATGAGGGGGCTTTTCCTCTCTGACCCTTAGGCCCCTGCTTGCCTCCTCCTAAGAGGACCTCAGTGGAAGGTTGCTGAACCAGTTGGGTAATCAACAACATTTTATTTTATTTTGCAGCTTTGCTGAGGTGTAAGTGAGCTACACATAATTACACACGCTGTATACAATTTTATGAGTTTGGACCTGCCCCCACACCTGTGATGCCACCTCCACCTTCAAGACAATAAACACATGCTTCATCTTCTCAAGTTTCCAGCTAAGCAACATTTTTAATTGAATTTACTTCACTCTATGAAAAACCAAAGAACACTGAGGTGTATGAGACAGGTAACATAGTGGTGATCTGGCTGTGGGAAAATAAAAATTCACACTACAAATAATTTCTTGTTTTAGAAATAATAGTAAAAATGACTTTATAGAAAATTTCCGGTACTATGTGAAAAATAAGATTTTGGGGAAATCTTTGGGAAACTGGGAAATTCATCTTTGTATCCTTTTCTGGGGACATGTTTGCTTCATGAACTAAGGAACAGAGATAATTCTTTATTAAAGTCATTTTAAAAAAGTTTGATTTTCCTTCAGGTGTCAGAGAATGAGTGGTAGCCTGACTCTGATGAGGAAAAGAACTTCCTCCATCTTGCTATGGACTTAAAGTCTAAATTGCTAAGCCGTTCTCCAATTCACCTGCTGAAGAGCCTCTGTACTTTTCAGAGTAGATAGTCAATATTTGCTATTGAACAAATGAATGGCGAACGAATGAACACACGAATGACAAAGCTGTGCTTTTGGACATGGGTGGAGCATGTGTGTCCACAAAGTTCACCGGTGGGAGCTGCTGGTCAGGCTCTTGTGGCCTCCCAGCACTGGTGTGGGGTTTGGGCTGCCAGACAAAGCTAGTTAAATCTCTGGATTGTGAGGAGGGAGTTGTGATGTTGGTGCTCCAGTTTTCTCACCCCTCAATGTGTGATTCTGAAGAATGCTCAGTGCTCTCCCAGAGACTCCCCTTGGTGGGGAGCCCCAGATGCTCACAGTGGTAACCTGCTTATTAAAGAATCCTTTTTCGTTTTTCTCCCTTGGCTGCCTTGACTTAACACTCCTTGTGCTCCATGACGTCTTCTCCCTCCCATGTTAGCCACTTGCATTCAAAGTCTTGTCTCAGGATCTGCTTTGGGGGAAACAAAGTCCAGATAACTTCCCTGGCACCCTCCCCACCTGCACTGTGTCCATTTCTGCCACTCGCCTGTACTCTTCATGTTGCTTCTGTTGTATTTTATTATTTCATCCTACAGAAAGTTATACAGTGATTTTTCTATAGTAGGCCAACTTTTTTTTGAGGGTAGGCTACCATCTTGCCTAGTAGTACTTTTCAGAGTAGATAGTCAATATTTGCTATTGAACAAATGAATGGCGAATGAATGAACACACGAATGACAAAACTCCTTTCCCCTTATGCTTCATCAGTGCAGGTATAGGCAGAAAACATCCCAGGGAAGCTGCATCCTCATTCTTTGCATAGGAGAGGAGCTCAAAAGATGTTAGTGGCATGAAGCAAAGCATGAAATAAACAAAGCAGGCACAGGAGGGGTCAGAGTCTTTTATTAGACCCGTGTCCAGTTCCAGGTAACTGGATCTAGTGGTATTCGAGAAGTCTGAGTGTGCTGCAGTCTGTAGAGGCTTTGGCAGTCAAACTTAGTTTGTTGGAGACTCACTGAAAAAGCCGCAACAGTCTGTCAGTCTGGGCTCTGTCCCTGTCTCAGTGAACGCCTCAGGACTGGCCAGGGGCAAGAGGGAGGGCGGCCTCTCTGACAGCTGTCAGCTGCCCATGGATAGTAGGAAACCAACTCAAGTTGCAGCCTATAAAATTCAGACTACCCTGAACCACTGATGGGGAAGATTTAACCCCCTCCATAGTGCCCCAGGGCCTGATCTCAGCCTGGAGAAACTCCGGAGGGGTTGGGGCTTGGCCAGGTTCCAATGGAGATGGGTGGGAGGGGGAACCCAGAAAATTCTTTAGGTTGTGGGAAAGTTCAGGAGACAGTGAGGCCTTGATTTGGGGTCTTAGCTGCTTGAGGTATTTTCGTGTTTTTGAACTGTGTTGATGGTATCTTGGTCCAGGGTGGTAGAAAAGATGACTCCTAATTCTCAGTGTCAAATGAATTGCTTCATGTGTTAGGACAAGACTTCACCAAAAATAAGGGGTGGAGTCAAGTGCACTAAGCTTTATCAGGTGACTGTCTAGGTCCCATACCTTGGACACTGCCCCTCCTACCAACGCCCCGGCCTGGGCGGGGACTGGTTCTGACCCAGGACCCTGAGCTTCTGCCTGGGAAGCCTGCCAGGAAGCCACACTTCCAGGTCCAGAAGTCTAAGTTACCTGATGTGGGCCCCTTACTAGGATTGGGCGTTTCTGGACATGAAAAAACTCAGAAGCAATTTGGTTGATGGAGACACATTCCTGCCTCCTAAAAGGAAGCACAGAGAAATACTGATTTAAAGAGCCAAATCCCCTGAAAGCATCCCAGACAACTCAGAAAGGGTATTAAAGACTTAATTCATTTCAGTATTAAAAAACTTTTAATTCAAATATGTACTTGATAACAGAGAAACAGGAACTTTGCATAGATAATGAACTTTAACACTTCTATTTTTTTGTTGAGAGGTTGAAAACAATGAGGGGAAAGCAAAAATTTGTAAGCCAAATTTGCTTTGTTAAGGAGAGAAAACAAGTTTTTAAAATCTCTTATTACAGAAAAGTGAGAACTCTCTTTTATCAACAGCTTTGTTTATAATGTTGGCAGCCACACTTGCCATTACTTTATTAATAGAAAATTCATTTATTTACATATCCTTTTTGAAGGATTCATGTTTCAACTGAGCAACAAAGGGCTTTGTGTATTTTATTGATCACTGTCATTTATACAAAGGTAAAATACATTTTCATATACAGATAGATAACTTCACAGCTCTACCTTGGTACACACATTTTTTAATCAAATAATACAGGTTAGATATGCATATTTTGCTGCCACAAATTTCTGTGAAAGTAACTATGCTGGCATTCCCAAATACTCTGTTCTTTTGGACAGTGGAATGATCTTAGCATGTTTATGCAAGAAAATGAGGTATCCAGGAAATATATTATTCCATTTTTCCAGCCTCATGAATGTGAATTTAGTTGTTGTTTAAAGTTATCCACCATTTGAATGGGAAGGTGGGTGCATGTACCTGTATTTGCCCCGGGGGCTACAACCTTTGGGAGAAGGGTGTCAAGGGCTGCGGATGAGCATGCAGATAGGCTGGGACAGGGGAGATGTTTCTATTGGAAGGTCATTAGAGGGTCAGGAGAAGACAAGGAAATATCTCCATCAAGATATGGAGGGTCAGGAGAAGACAAGGAAATATCTCCATCAAGATATGGAACCAAAGATTAGTGTAGCCCAATACAGGTGTAGGAGTGGGGGCACTCTAGGCAGGTCCAATCTAGAAGCATGTGTTCTCAACAGGGAATAACTTTCTCAGGCCATGGTCAGAGGGAGATCTGACTCTGGAAAATGGTCAGAGAGGTGCAAGATTGCTGACTTGGAAGATGGAGCCATAGGCTATGGAGTGCCTGTGGCATCTAGAAGCTGAAAACATAAGGAAATGCGTTTCCTTTAAAGCCTCTAGAAAGGAGGGCAACCTTGCAGACACTTAGATTCTAACCCAGCGAAGACCTGTGTAAGACATTTAAAAAATTATTATTATTTTCTTATATCATTGTTAATTTTCAGGCAGTATTTGATTTCTCCCCTCAGGTGGAATCCCTGTAGTTCTCCCACCACCATAGCCCCTGTGATCCATCACCACAGTCCCTTGTGCTTTTCCCTCCCTTGCTTTGAACCCTCCCTTCCCCCATCCTGTTCTGGATGCCTTAGATCTATCGTCAGCTTGCAAGTTTTGTCTTTTTCTTAACACTTTGCTTGGTTTCTCTATATTTCCACACAGAAGTGAAACTATCTGATATTTATCCTTTTCCTGGTTTCTCTTAGCATAATCCCTTCGAGTTCTACCCATGTTGTTGCAAAAGGCATGAGTTTATCTTTTTTGATTGCTGAGTAATATTCCATTGTGTGTATATACCACATCTTCTTGATTCATTCTTCTGTTTGGGGGCATTTAGTTTGTTTCCATATCTTGCTCTGCCAGACTTTTGACCTAGAGAGCTGGAAAATAATAAATATGTGTCATTTAAAGCCATCCACCAAGTCTGTGGTAGTTTGTTAAAGCAGCAATTTCAAACTAATACAGCAGCAGAGAATTGGGCTAAATGACTCCAGATCTCTCCAAGAGCATCCAACTCAAGAATTTCTTAATCCAAATTGATTTATTACATACTTCCTCTTCTATGAATAATTTCTCCATCAGCCTCACATATTTCCAGAGTATGTGACAGCATTAAATATTTAAGTCAAGACAAATAGACTTAATGAGTCGGCATATCTTGATTTTATAAACATTTTCTCATAGATCAAAGACAGTCCTTTTTCCCCTGTTCATTCAGAATAGTCCAGTTTAAACACACTTCTTTTGAAATGAGTTCAAATGTATATCGCCTGCACATTGTCAGGGGTTTCCTAAGGTCCTAGGACCTTAGGATATTAACTTTTACATGTTACCTTCTAGCTGCCAAGGTGGGTCATTGACAGCTTTACAGACAAGATTTAATTAAAGCTTAGACGAAATGTACCAATGTGCATGGAGAGCAAACCAGTCCTGGCTGAAGAGGCTCAGGATGGCACTGATTCTGTGAGTTAATTAGCAAGAAGTAAGAGCTCAGGGATCACAGAGCAGGGAGTGTGGGGAGCAGACGCTCTGTGATGTGAACTTTGAAGATTTGTTCTATGAAGGGATCTCCTTTAAAATCAGTGCTTGGACAAAACATCCTTACATGATTGTTTTTAAAGCTTAAAACTAATATTTATACTCGAAAGAACTAATATTTATACTCAGAAGACTAGATTTGGAAATATCAGAGGGTCTGACTTATTCTGCCCTGGAATGTTCTTTCTTGTCCTGTTTTGCAGCTCAGACAGGAAGAGAAGGTGCAGAGATGTAGAGGTGTCCACTTTCCACAGGTAAAAACAATTATATGTACACTTTTCAAGTAAGAAGTTCACAGAGAATGACCCATTATTTTTTTTCCCTCAAACCACCATTTTCTGGAGCCCCTTTAACCTTAGTACTTTCTGGAATCTAGATCAAAAAACAAAAACAACAACAGCAACAAAAGCTAGGCAAACCATCCATACCACGGAATTAAATTCAGTTTGTGCTTATTGAGCACCTATTATCAGTCAGCCATTGTACCAAGAATTGAGACCAACAAATCAGTAAGATGCATTTTTCACCCTCAAAGGATTCACCATTGAGTGGGAAAGACAAGCAAATTTCAGTTGAGGGACTAATGCAACAATAGGGGTAAATATAAAATGTAGAGGGAGATGAGAAGAAAGGGATTAATCAAGGAGGCAGAAAGCATATCCAGGAAGCTTCTTGAAGAAACTGGAGTTTCAGTTATGATTGATATTTTAACAAGTGGCGAGGATGAATGAGTTCTGTAGGTAGAAAAGGCAGCTCTGGGGCAGGTGGGTGCTTTTTCTACCACCCTTGTTGGAGCCCTTCAGAGTAGATTGGGGATTGAGTGGAATAAATATATTGACCGTGAACTTTGTTTCCAGAAAGATCTGCATGTGAGTCTTGCCACCAGCTTCCTGTGGACCCTTTAAATACTTATTTAAAATTTCAGATTCCTCTTCTGTAAAATGGAGATACTATTGGTGTCTGCCTTATAGAACTGTTCTTACACTTAACGGGATTAATGTTTTGCATAATGGGAGATATTTAGTAATAAATAGTATTTATTAATTTTGTCCCTGCCTATGTAAAGCTTTCAAATACCTAAGGGGAGGGTTTTTTATTACTACAAGTTGGTCTAGGTCACTAAATTGTCATGGATAGTAAGCTCAGTTTCTCTCTTGAGGTAAAGACAAAGGAGTCAATTAATCAGGTGTGAGCTGCAGCCCAACCAGACGCATTCGATGCATTCGTGGGTGAGGTGGAGACTGTGCCCAAGAGGGCAGGCTTCCTGGGCCTGTGAAACATGCTGTCACACAGGCCCCACATCCTGTCCCACACTTGGAAGTTCCTTCGCTTGGTTTCTGCTGTCATTTTCTTGAAATTCTATAAGAACTCCTGAATTTTCATTTTGTGCTACACTGCAAGTTGTGAGCCTGGTTTGGGTGATGGGCCTGTCTTGGATGCATCTTGTCCCTACTGTAACATGCTCCCCTTTGGTTCAGGGACTGAGCACCCCTTTCTCAAGCCTCTGCCTGGTAATTGCTGAGGCCACGAAAACTACCCCCTAAACCCAATCCCAGTTCATTAGGCCCTATTCTTCCGTCTTCACAAAGGTGAAGTCAGCAGAGTCTTTGCCTCATGGGAACTCACATTCAAAAAGAGGAGGCACGTGTATACATAGGCAACTGCAGGTTGACATGCCAGCGTTTGAAGCAGGGGCGGAGATGACCGGGGGTCCATGGAGGAAGATACAGGGATTATTTCTTGAACATTTATTACCCTTCTGTGTGTTCTTCTTAGGTTTTCTTGGCAAGTGGGATCATTTTTCCACATGATTTTATTTCTATGAAAGTGGGTCTAGGTAAATGAAAGGTTTGAAGTGCATTCTTGAAACGCAAGAATGCATTCCAGCAAAGGTTCCCGACATCTTCCAGTGGGTTCTGGAAGCCCTATCTCACCAGACAGTGCAAAATGCTGCAGGTAACTCTCCACTCAGACAAACAGGCACCTGTAGCCAATGGATCCTTCATTTTATAAAGTGCTTTCACATATTTTTAGTAATATTTCCCTTTCTATAATAAGTATGCATCCTTCCTCACTTAGAAATGCCTTGAGCGTTACCATTGCTAGAGGAGGAGGGATTCTAAAAGGAATCTTCTTTCAGTGCTCTGAGTTACAAAATTTTTGCATTAGTTGCCCAACAAGATAATTAGGAGGCGATTTAGGGTTTTTTCTTTCCTATTGGCAAAATAATTATAAGCAGACATCTAGACTGAAAGGTGGTGACCAAACTGTTGTCTCTCGGTACTGAGCTCCACAAAGGCAGGGCTCATGTCCTACTGATCTTTGTCTCCACTCTGCCTAATACAGTGCCTGAAACCATTAAGTGCTCAAACCACAGCTGTGAAATGGAATAGAATACCACTGGAGTGGGAGTAGGTATCCTTTGAAACATGATCTTCAAAAAGTAATTTTGAAAGGTATAATGGAGCTTCTATAGCTTCTAATGCTGGAAAGAAGCAAGCCATGGCAAGGTCAAGGCAGGGCCCCCAAGGTGTATCTACTAAGGTTATGTCTGCTTGATGCCGAGCAGTCTGATGAACTGATCCAGTTTCCCTGAGTTGGCCGGTTGGTCGTTGTTCGTGTGGAGAGAATCACAGAACGTCCTAGTTTCTCTTCAGTTGTGTAAACTGATGCCTGAATCCTCCTCTTCAGAATATTTCCCAGCTGAGTTGATCCAATGGGCTGCATTATTCTGCTTAACCAAACGCCCTCTCCCAGCAGAAACAACAGAACTGGATTCACTTGCAGCTGAGGCACGAACACACCTCTCTTTAACAGAGTGCTCAGAGCTCTTCAGAGCCAGGCCCACCCCCGGGTGCTGACATTGCAGCTATGGAAACGGCTGGGGGCTGGGAGTCCATCTCCACAGACCTTAGTCTGGCCTTTTGATTCCAGTCATGTTTTCCAGAAGCCCAGGGAAGCCTTGCAGGTGAGCAGAAGCACTTGGGACCTGAACTTCTGCTCCTCATTTCCTTATGAGGAGATCTAGGGCACCTCATTAAATAACACCTATGTTTTGTTTTACTTGATGAGGAGAAAGAAAGAAAAACCAAGCAAAACAGAATACATTTAAAACAGAATATATTTGTTCTTGGACCTCTGAGATTGGACGCCTGCCCTGGATGTGTCTCTCTCAGTGTACACTGAATAGCAGCTTGCAGTTGTCCTGAGGACCAGCTGGGCCATTGTTAGGACGAGCTATGTGCAAGTGACTCACAACTATGCATTATGATTTATTAAAAAGAATGCTTTTTTGGTCACTTTGTTTTATTCTTCCTTAAAAAAAAGTTTACACTACTGTATAAGTTTCAGGAACACAGCTTTACACGTGATGTGTGTGTATTCCACACCACACTCACCACCAAAGTACTAGTACATTCACACTATCAAATAAGCCCCCTCTGCCCTCTCCTCCCACCCCCCCTTCCCTGTGGTAGCCACTATATTTTTCTCTGAGTCTAAGAGTTATTTTTGCCCTGTTTTGTTAGTTCGTTTGCTATGGTTATTTATATTCCACAAGTGAGAGAAACCATTCGGTAATTGTCTTTCACTTTCTGACTTCGAGAAAATAATTCTTTGAAGTGAATTGACATTTCATCTGGGGAGTATTTGTCTACTGATCTCTGGTTCACTTAAGTGAGGCAACAAAAATAAATGGCTCATTTTCACTTCCGAATTCGAGCACATTCGTACCCAGCCTCCAAGTTTTTGAACTTAACACTTTGGTGGAAAGTAAAAGCCAGATACAGCTTTTGTGAAATTTTTCAGTCTTTCATAAAAGCTTCCCTTCTGTGGTGCTTGTGATATTGGTAGAGCGAATTTAAATTAGAAAAAAATAAAATAGGTTAGAATGACTTGGGTTTGAAACAAATGTCACTTCGACTGCCTCTCTTCTAATCTGGCTCGCATCATTTTTAGCATAGGCAGTTAGAATAGCTTATTCCATTTCCCTTCATCATCCATAGTAACAGGTTAATAGAGGTGATCATGTCACACCTAGCTTGTCAATGACTTTCCATTGCTACCCAATATCTGATATATAGTAACACAAAACAAACTTTAGTTGTGTTTGTGAAATTCTCATTTACGATACTCCTAGGCCATAGGGAAGGAGTCGGGAAGGAAAGAGACTTAATTGATTACTAATGAGGTGGGATTTTTTTCCTTATGATTATTGAATTTTTATATTTGTACATGTGTATACATTTCCTCTTCATGCCTCTTATCTGTTTTTCTTATGCGGTGGGTGTGCTTTTCTTTTTTGCTCTCAACAAATACCATTGAAGTATTTTTTTTTTTTGTAAAATGTGATGGGCCAGCTCTTGACTGTCTTGGTCATGAATGTGCAAGTCCACACAGACAGACACACACACAGACACACACGTACATCTATTCCATGACCTCTGCTTTGTACCAATATTTGGTAAATTGTGTTTAAACTGCTTCAATAAATAAAGAAGCTTCTAAACTCATATTGTTTTCTTTAGAACGGTCTTTCCTGCCCGTCCCAGATATAAGGTGCACGATAGAGGTACTCACATTGCTTAGGCATTTAGGTCTCACTGACTTATTCTCAAACACAAAGTTTAAATGAATTCCTTTGTTAAGAAAGGCCTAAACTTTATGGTCTGGAGTGGGATGAGCACTCCTGGCCTTGTTGGGAGTTCCTTCCCTGGTCTACATTCTTCCATTTTCCCATCTTCCTGCTTGAAATTGGTAGTGAGGGACTGGAGAATTTTCTGAGAGGCTACAATGAATTAAAAAGAAACTGACTCTTACCACTGGGTAACTTGAGGGGGAGACCTGGCTCAGCCCTGCAGTGACCTGCTGTGTGGCTAAGCCCCTAAGATACCATTAGCTTTTGCTTGTGAAATAGTAAGAGACTACAAGTAATTAAGAGTTTGAGGGCAGGTAGAGCTATGCGATGCTATAGGAATTAAAGAAAGGAGAGGTAAACACAACTGAAAAAAATGGGGAAGTATTGCTAGAAAAATGGAACTTCACTTGGGATCCAAAGAGTGATTAGTTTGGATTGTCAAGATCTCCAGGCAAGAAGAGAAACTCTTCTGTTGTGGTATCTCTTGCAGGGTGGGGGGCGGTTAAGGTGGATTCCCTGGGCAGGTCTGGTTGTCTGGCCTCAGGGCCAGGTGAAGCTTAGGCTCTGGGCTGAAGGATGGACAGGAGGTTTCCAAGCAGGGCTAGTGGGATA